CACTGATTAAACTGGTCAGTTGTTCATGTTCAGTGTCTCATGGGGCAGTCACATTACTCCTGAACGCCTATTATCTGTTACTCCTTTACACCTACTCATGAACTATGAGCTTGCTCACAAAGCAGCATCATTACAAAATAGAAAATCACTATATTATAACTCGTCTAAATTAGAATAGGATGATCTCTATTCTTTATAGCAATATTAACGTCATAAAATTGTACATTTGCTTCATACTGAGTAATCAAAAAGCTCACTGACTGTAGTATTCACAAGAGTATCTCAATGATTCCCTGATGGTTAACTATTTCAGGTAAGAATTGAAGTGCTGTTATCCAATTTAATGTATTTCAAACATTTTAAAAATCTTGGATTGTTATTTTTGTCAGTGTAAAAATATTTTTAATCATTAAAGCAACAATGTGCGCATTCAACAAGAGCAAGTGTCTTGTTTGTAGTTAAATTAAATAAAACTTAAATAATTTGAAGAGCATAAAGGGCCTAGAGTAAATGTTCAAAGTTTGATATTTACAGTCAGGCAACAGGAAATTAAACATCATAACACATAACTAGAGGATTTTAAGAGATGATTGGCTGCCTTTGGAGGCGGGGGATGTTGTGACATATCCTGTAGGCTACATATAAATAGGAAGTCCAGCAAGATCTCAATTATTACTTAACATTACATTCCAAATGAGATTTGTTTTTTGTTTTGGAAAGGACGGATAAATTTAGTTCATATTTTTTTCTAGATATTATTGTGCTAGATTAAAATAAATTGCAATGCTTTGATTTCTTTACTTGTTCTAACACTTGGATCGACCATTGCTAATTCTTAGTAGCTACAGCCATTTATAAAAGTCTTTATGCTCAAGAAAACCATTTAAACAGGGTTTCTGCGCTGGCTGCTGTCGTTTGAGGTCCCTCTGCCAGTTGGAAAGGCTTGGAGTGCCTCAGTGAAACCTGCCACATTCTTTCCTGATGAGTGCACTGATAGTGCTGAAATGTTTGACTTACATAATGACAGAGCTAAGTGCACATAGTTTACACCCTCCATGACACATTTACACATCAAGCTCGCCACCTGACCAAACATCCCAGATGTCAAAAACAAGTTCTTTTTTTCAGTATTTCTCCATTTGTATTGACTATTCTACATGTGGTGTCTGTCCAACACTTTGTGAGTTTTAATAGAGAAAAAATAACTACAGGAAATTTCAATATTTCACCAATAATGCATTTAAAATTTAACTCAAACATGAAGCTGTACGATGTATTGCTCAGACAAAGCTGCTGCAAGGTTAACAATGTCCTTAAATGGAAGGTCAACCACATTGACACTAAGAGCAGTAAACCGGTTACAAGAGAAATAATGGTAACATCTGTGACTTGCATTAAATTAAATTGTTAATGAAAGTTCAGCATGAAATCTTAGCCACAGTATCCCTGTCTCATCACCTCAAGAAAACCCTACGTCTTAATTCCGTTCTCTCTTCCTCTTTATGTGACTCTTAAGCAAGCAAGCTGTGACCTGTTGAACCCTCAGAGCAGCACAGGCCCAAACTTGCTCTTCTCTCTCCTTCTTCCATCTCAGACACACAGCTTTCAAATCAGGAACTTCATTGTGGCGTAGGCTGTATGGTTCATACAGAAAACAATACCCTGGTGATTAACAGTGTAGAAGTGCTTATTAATTTCTGTTATACACAACTAGCTTTGGGATGAGGGCAGGGTTTGTGTGCAGCATTTTTGAGGCTCTGTTGTGGAGGTTTTAGATCCATTAACTCGCCATCTTCAGCACCCACGTCAAAGCCCCATCTGACATACGGAGTGGAGAAGTGGTGTTTCTGACATTCTGACAATAGACACTTTTTGCACATGTATTAAACTTTTTACATGATATTTTGTAGATTACGTGAAGACCATAAGTTTATGTAAAAACATAAACAAATGTGAAATCCTGCAAAGAACCTTTATAATGTCTATTAAATATATAAATACAATTATAAATGCTTAAAAAGATAACCTAGATGTAGACTTCACTATTTTGTTGTTCAATGTACATAAATACACATAAAATGAAATTTCAATATTTCAAAAGCTTGGTAGTTTTTTTTTTTAACAAAGAAATAAAAGCATAAGAACCTCAATAAAATCATAAATTAGTCAGTATCAAAGTTAAAATATCATCAACTAATAAAAAAAACATAGCAGCAACTCAATTAATTCCGTTAGTCATGTGACTCAGGTCCCATGTATTTAGAATTTACCAGAATGTAACATATTAACAAGACCGTTTTATTTAAAAACTTGCAACATTCTTTAAAAATGACACTCATAGGCCAGCTCCTGTGGTGTAGAGGCAGTTAGCTGGACACACATGAAGTGCGTCGTTATGCTTCTTTTCCTTTCCTTTGAATAAAAACTTTATTGAAACACAATTTTGAAAAAAGTCAGGGTTGAGGTAAATGTTTTAGATTAAATATTTTAAGGTTTTGTATCATTAGTGATTACAAAGAAACAAAGGGCAAACAAAAGTTAAATTGACTTTTCCTCAGAGTGAGTATAACTCTATTCAGAGAGTGATCTGAATAGAGTTCATTTGAATCTAAGGATTTTTCTGTGTTTAATCTCTCTCCTGTCAATTTTTTTAATTATTTTTTTTAAAAAGGTACTGGCCTAAAAAAAAATGTGTGTTTTGCCAATCATTAGCTCATTTCAGGCAAAAGGTGGTCTACATATGCTGCAACAAAAAACAGAAAAGGATACACATCTATACGCTGTGATTTCAAAATCTAGCTTTTTCAAGTAAGGACAAAAACAACCATGAAGCTGAAGAAACCTTGAATTCATTTCCATTTATTAGGATCAATTTACTGCTGTAATTGCTTTAACATTAGCAGATAATTGTCACATGCACAGCCCTGGTGTTCGCAGTTAAAATGCTAAATGACTCGAGCAGATGTGAGTCTGACCTCTGTTCCAGTAAAAAGCAGGCTGCTTTCAAGTGTGTTATGCTCAGTATAGTGACTTTAAAGCACACATATAGAGAGTAATTAAACACATTGGAAATAAAGACTGTGCTTCTCACGTGTTACATGATTATCAAACCGGTTTCGTCTGCTTAACGGAGCAGCTGTTTCTGGACTGCAGTCACCTGTTGCTCATAAAAGCATTTCAAAGGTCCTGTGTCCATTACACATCATACTGGCTCCACACCAGTTAAAAATAACCAGAGGTTAGATGGGCAACTGTTGTGTGCTCACAACACAGATGCATTTAGAGTTCTGTGACTGGGCTCTAGAATCTTTGTTGAGTTGTTTTAATGTACTTAGGGATAATTCCCTCCACAAATGGAAGCTTGAAGACATTCCTCAAGTTTTACAGCTGAAGGAAACTCTGTCAAAACACTTTGGGATGGCTTTGAGTTTCGAGAGGCTAATCTGGATTTTTGAAACAAAACCGTACAAATCTGTGCACCTGCTATGATTTTAAAAAGTACATGACAAGGCTTTGAAAGTGGCCACAATTTGAGAGAGAAATTAAAATGTAGATCCAATGTTTTCAAACATTGAGGTCACAAAAAATGTATAGATATTTATATAATGTCTAAAACTATACAATGTTTTATTAATTTATGAATAGAACAGAAGAAAAAGGTGTTGTCACATCATTCTGAATGGCAGGATAACACGTTTTAGGTTGAGTTTAGTTGCATAAGAAACACAAAAATATACATTTAGCTATTGTTTCCATGACCAGAAAAATTCACATTCAGTGACATTTGTCTCTGCTGGACCAGTATGTTATTGTTATCTGGTGGACCTGGCAATGATAAACTCCCACTGCCACTAGCTGGAGTAGACACCTACTGAAATATACAATGTAGTGCAAAAACTTTAGGCAGATTTAAAAATACTGTAAACAAATAATGCCTTCAGAAATATAAATAACGACATTTAACTGTTAATTTAATTGTTTAAATGTTCATTTTTGTACATTTACAAAATGCATTGAACTGAACAAAAAAGTAAATCATAAGAGTATTTGGTTTTACGGTTTTCCCTATAGCATCAGTTCTTTAAGGCTCACTGGCACGGTCAGAGATTTTGTATGATTGCAGTCAGGAGATCCTTCGATTAATCGGTGTTACACGTCGGTTGATGACCAGTCTTGAGCTGAAACACAAACATTATGCAGTTTGATCGCTGAAGTGCAAGACAGTGGTACAATAATGCATCTGCAGGCAACAGTTAAGAATTGTGGAAGTTCAGTTAATATGTGGGGGGTGCGTTTAATTAATTTGTAGAGTTGGTCAAGATTATTAGTGTCCTCAATTCTGAGAATATTTAAATATTCATGCATTTGGCAGACACTTTTATCCAGAATGACTCACACTTCAAGAAATCAACACATTTGGTCCGTTCTTGTTTTTCCTCGAACTCACAATCTTTGCATTCTTAACCCATATCATGAAAACCATCATTACATATCCCCAAATTCATTCTGCTGCAGGACAACTCCAAAACAGCCAGCCATTTAAAGCTAGTCCCAGCAAAAAGAACAAGTACTGGAAGTTATCATGTGAAGAATCATGTGATCAATTGTCCCATATATTGGTCACACCATGTATTGATTTCACTTTTGTTCATTCACTGCATTCTGTTTATAAATGAAGATAAAATATAACAGCGTTCTTGTTTAGAGCATTTTTTACACCAGCCTGAAACTTTTGCACAGGTCTACATTATTAAAGTTGATGTCTAATACTGACCATAGAATGGCATACAAATATTTCTTAGTTGTTCTAAACATCATAAAGTTTATATCATCCACAAAGATCCCTTCTTTGATTTATAAGCTTAATCCTAAAAGTCAAATATTTAATTTATAATAAGGAATTTATATGATCTTAGCACAACATCAGTAAACAAGTTTGAAACTTTTCTAGCTCTGGCTGTATATAAAATGACACTATAAAAATGTATTTCTTGCATTATGCTTTCCTGTGGTTCAGTTAGTAGAGCATTGTGCTAACAACGCAATTTCGTAGGTTCAAATCCCAGAGAAAGCAGGAACTTTGGATAAAAGCTCTGCCAAGATATTTTATTTTTAAACTCATTTGAGACAAACCTCACTTTTTGTATGCGTAAAGACAAAAGAATGATTGCATATCATGAAGATGGCAAGCACAGCCAAGTACAGCGTAAAGTAGCACCACACATACTTTTTTCCATTTGTAATTTTATCTCTAAAGAACCAATAGTTTAGTTTTACAAATGCAGAATTTCTGCTTTAATTGGTTCTTGCATTAGAACACTTCACGATTCCAGACGATAATTCCATCCCTTTTCTCTTAAATAAAAATGGATGAAAGATTGTCACCATGCTTGCAGTCCACCTGTTGGGCAACCGTGAAAGTGATTACAGCAGTGCATTTTGGGAATGTAAATAAGAGCCTCTTGATAGCCATTAAATCGAGCAAGAGCTTCAAACGCCGATTTGTTCTGTAAATAGCCCATTGAGTCCAGGCCTAAAAAGCTGCAACACCTTTCTCTCCCTCGGCGTAATTGAATCTTCAAAGGGGTATGTCTACTCATGTCCCGATGAATAGGACTCTCGTATGAAAAGAGAAGAAAGTACACATGTTTATCCATGTTCAATTAGCCACCTCATCATCTGCATTTGTGATAACCCCGTAAGAACGGGAAGAGACACAATTAAGGAAGAGATAGATGGCGCTGCATACATAAAAAAGCAGCATTTTGCTAATGAGCAGTTCTTAAGAGAAACCTTCATTCTATGCGCTCCTGAATACAGTATGTTGAACGTTTTGAGAAAAGAACACCTGTGATGGACCCAAGATACATTTTCCACACAGATTCCATCTCATTGTCGCAGCTCGAACCAGTTTTCAAAAACAGAAATGCAAAGTTTCAACAGGATTAAAAAGGGATGTTTTAATCTCATTTTTATTAATTAAATACACCATATTGGAGCAAATGTCTCTGAAAATATCACAAATAGAATCTCTCTCATTCTGCATTAATAGGTTGACAGCTTTGAGCTTCATGTTTGTTGTGTGATTTCAGGTTCAAGGGAAACGGGTTGTACAGCTGATGTAGTATGTACGGTAGCCACAATGGGACAAAAACATTTACATGCATACATACTGTACATGGTAGTTTTACAAATACACCGAGAGTGTTCATGATTTGATTTGCACAAAAAAAAGAAAGAAAGAAAAAAAAAAGGTCACTGATACGTCTTTGAATCCAGTCTTCGGGATCTTTATATCAGACATGAAACACATTCCCTTTACAACATCTAAAATATAGAAAGAAAAGATTCCATGTTGTGAAGAAAGGGAGAAAAGACATAGGGATATAAAGGGAGGGGGAATCAGTATTCCCCTAGTAAATTTAAAAAAAAGAAACTTTTTCCAAAGCAGACGGACAAAAATTCTGCAGTTTATCGTTTAGATTCCACCCACTTCTTCAGTCTCACATTTTACCCCCAAAACAAGTCTCATTGTATGGATCAGAGGCTCGGTCTGAGACAGTCTACAGAGTCCTTAATGTCCCTCCGCATGGCCTCATGAGAGCTCAGGCCAGATATTGGCGTTCTGGTTTGAGAAAAAAAGATAGGAGCCTGGGAAGGGTCCGAACCAAAAGGTCTTGGGTGGCAATGATCGAGGGGCTGAAATGAAGGCACACATCCTGCTTGAGCAACACCATCGTCCTAACACACCTGGAACACACAAACACATTGCAGACCTATTAGACACTAGAAACTCATTTCTATGATTGAAATAACAACATCTTTAGATTAAAACATTAAAATTCAATTTTATGAAAATTATACATAGGTTCATTTTTAAAGATATGAAAAAACTGTGAAAATAAAATATTGAAATGTTAAAACATTGAAAAGGTTGGATTCTGTCTTGGTTTCTTAATATTTATTACAAAAAAATAGATAAAAAAATTACTATTAATCTGTTTACTTGACAACTGAGACATATCCAGCTGCAGCTACACAAGTTGTACAACACCAGTATTAAACAATAGAGATACCCCTTGCTGCAGACTGTAGTGCGGTGACATAAGGTATGTGCCAAAGGTATGTATATATATATATATATATATATATATATATATATATATCACAAAAGGAAAATCCAAACTTTCTAATAAGTGTCTTAATAAGTTTTAAAGATTTTGTCCCAAACGCTACAAATCTTTTTTTTTTTTTGATGAATCAATTCAAAATACAATGACAAACCATATCAATATTGAATCCATTGTCTGGCTCCAGAATAGATTTCTCCAACTTGTAGGCTGGGTACTGTTTTGTCTCTTATTAGATCATTTTCACTTGCGCTGACAATGGCAAATGGCAAAGTTTTGTGTTTGTATGGTCCCTTTGTGTTTGCGTACCATTGATCTTATGTTCCGCTTGCAGAGATGGTACTACTTGGCTTTAGTTTAGATCTGTTTCAGATCACATTGCATTACCAGGCTTTGCTCTTGTGGGTCTTTTGCTCTAGTTACTATTTTCAGTAAATAAAATATTACGTGTTTGGACTTGGCTTTGAGTGGATTTGAATTGGGCCGTACAATCGCTCAACAACAACCTTGAGGAACAGAGCACTTTATTACTGCTCTGCAATCCTTTTGATTTTACACACTGTTCAAAGTGTTTTTAGACATCATGAGCGGCTCAGGGAGAAAGATGGCAGGGGTTGACACGAATATAGTACAACCTATAAAAGTATAATTTAAATATCTTTGGTCAAACAAAAGCCGTGAGATGAACTAAAGCCCCCTGCTTAACTTATTGACCAGGTCGGGCCTCAGATGCATTTGCAGCCCAATTTAGTCTCTTTTGTGTCTAATTTTTAACAATGATGTGCGCAGTCTCTGGGGAGCCAAGTTTCTGGTCAACCGAGACAATTATCCCAAAATCCAAGAGCTGCGCTCTGTCACAGCAAACTTTCCCCCCTAACGTTCTCCTTACTTTTGTTTTTAAACATTCTAGGGGGCAATTTGCTTTTCCTGTCTTACCTCAAGTTACTAAGAGGTTTCAGGCTAGTGTAATAGTAATTGCAAGCCCCCCCATGCCACCCTACATCGGAGGGCTAATTAAAGAGACGGAGGCTGTGAAGGTTTGGTTCCCCTGGGATCAGGCTCAGCATGAGAAAGGTAATTTGTCTGTCCTGAACAAAGAGATTAGGGAGAAGCCGGGCAGCTACTTAATAAATGAGCATCAAATGTCTTCAGCCGTGGACACGAACGGCACCAATTATGTCACCATGAAATTGCGCCTAATAAAAACAATGGCTGCTGGACCGGGCGTCTTATCTGTCTGGGGTAAACCTTCAGTATCTCTCAAGAGCTTGGTTTGTTTCGGTTCAGGCTCATTTCCATTGGATGCGGAGTACATGAGGAGGTTGGCAAGCTCAATCTCAGAAATTGTAACAATGTACCTTTCATCGCAGCCAAAGTTTCTAGAAACACACGACTGTTAAAGTATCCTGGGAGGACACTTGGACCTTCTCCATTTGTGTGTATTTAAAAACTCTCTTTACACTATAATTAAAGCAGCAAAGCCAATATTCAGATTGCATTTTGGCATTAATAATTCAGCTGTTTTCACTACAATTGATGTCGGGACATAAATAAACAATGAGGCTTCATATTTACACAACGGCAGCCGCCAAGCGAGAGGAAGGAGGGGGAATGGAAGGACAGGACTTTAAATTAAGCTTGATAATTTGAAGGCTTTCACTTTGATACGCAACACACTCTTGAAAATAATTTGTTAAAGTGATGATGCCTTAAAAGGCTTCTAAGAGAGCTTCGGGCTTAATGGAGCTCCTTTTCTGGTCACTACCTCTCAATTCCAGCTAGTTTTTCCTGTTAAAAGTGAAATAAATGTTCAGTTGTAATGGTACAATCTCTGTGGCGTGCATTTGGGCATCGCTGCTATCTCCATATCGATTCTGGTGATGCGTCACGGAGCTGTTATTTTCAGTGCTGCAGAGTGATGCAATTGAGTAGTGGTTGACTACACAATGAACTCTTATTGCAGACGGTCCCAAAGGCGAGAAGAGGAATTAGGTGGAATTATTTGCCAGGTTGGCATCTGCTTGTGTTTATTTAAGGCTTGCTGTGTGGTGTCAGAGGAGCAAATACCCAGACAAACCTGTGCTTTAGATGGTCGCTAGATTACAACAGACAAACACAAGATGTTTTTAATAAACGCACAAATGAAGCTGTTTGGTTATGATCGGCACAAGTTCATCTGTACTGAATATATTTAGCTTCAGATAATAAGAAGACAATTATTGTCACCTTGCTGACCCATCCTACATCTAAAAGACTTTCATTAAGGGTAATCTCATTTAAGCAAGTTAATGTTAATAGTGATAAATTACCTTTCAGAGGGAATGGATTGCAATTGTCCTCTAGCCCTCACTACGGGTTAGGAACTATGCAAAACGTACTTCTAAATTTTAAAATCATAGTAATTAGTGTATAGCTTGTATTTAAATTAAAGCATTAAAGCATCCATTTCTAATTTTACACTGTTTACAAAACAATGCTCAGCATCTGTGGATTTAACAATAAATGTAGCTAACGGAAGGCAACAGGAAGAGCAAGCAACTGTAAAACAGTGAGAACTGCCTGCAGTCATTTAGTACACAAAGTTAGAAATAATCTGGAATAGTCATAAAAGCAGGAAAATAATTGCACAGTCGCTGCCGAATGTCACCTTTTTATCATAAATAAAAACCATATACATTGATGATAAAAGACGTTTTATTTGTAAAGTGCTAAGCATTCTTTAACTTTTGTAAATAGCTTAAAGTAAACCAGAGAGAAATCTACATTGCACAAAATTTTTTTTCATTGTTCATATATATTCTGAATATTACAGACACTAATCAAAGAACATTATTATTTTGGAATATGAATAGACCTGATGTTTGTAATGTTTATAAAAGTTTTCAGCGTCTGTCCGTTATGTTGTTTATGGTTATTTACATTGCTCTTATTCCACAACAAAGTA